AATGCTCTGAACTACTTTCCTTTTTCGATTTTTAACCAATTTTTTTTTCATCTTTTCACTATTTTTTGTACTTCTTCGTCGGCAGCAATTTTTCAATTTAAAATATATTCAACAATTTTTTTACCATTCTTCTGTTTCATGTTTAGAAGCACCTAATCTAACTATATATGTTTATCCATTACAAAATTAAATAGATTTTTTTTTTAACACTTCTTACTTTGATTTGTTTCTGCCATTTGCAAAACCCATGTTCTAGATTTGTCTGCTTTTGTCTTTAATCAACCATGCAATAGCTCAGGACAAAATCTTGTTATGGATATGGAAAATTCAGTTTCTTTTAGACCTATGATTAGCTACAAACTCTGAAAGACTTTTTGAATGAACAGAGATCTATCTCGAGTTAACATAAAAAATGAAACATATCTAAATAAAAAACAGGGGAATTTTCGAGTTTGTGTGTATGAGTTTGTGGGGTCAAAGTAACAATGTGGGACCAAAAAGATGTTCTTGTCTGATCTCTAACCATTTGATTTTTTTTTTACTAATTTTTGTTCTCTCTTCTAAACTGCTTTTTCAACAAGTACAAGGAATCTATATAGTTTTCTTCTCTTCAGCTTTTCTGGGGATCTACACATCTTTCACAAGTCAATTTCTGATCTTCCTTTTCGTCATGTGTAAGCAATCTCTCTGTTACTCTAAGAATGTCTACTTTTGTTACAGCCCTTACACACAAAACATATACACTCAAAAAACAGAGTATCAGAAACAGAATATCTCAAAAGAATTGAAATCTAAGTTAGATCATCATTCGGTTATAAAGGTTACCAGAAATAAGATGATATATAAAGATTAAAGACAATGACACATTTTCACAAATTATATATAGAGATTCTTCTTCCATTAGAGAACTCAAATGGTAGAAAAATGTTAAGAAAAAAGAAAAGAAAAGTTAGTGCTATTCGCGCTCCACTCTTTTAGTTTTTGAAATGTTGAGCAATGAAACCCTAATTTCATCTACTACCTTTTTTCTCTAGGTTTTTAAAGTGGAGCGTGATTAGCACTACTCTCGTAAGCAACAACTACATTCTCACAAAAGAGAAAATTAAATAAATAAAACTCAACATTAAAAAAAGAAGACAGGATTTTTGGATGGGGTTTTACTGATATTTCAGTTCCTTCGAGTCTTGCGACCAGAGGAAGCTGCGGGTGGAGCGTTTGCGTTTGCGTTTGAAGCGTTTTCATGGTTGAAATCAAGAAGTACGGTGCTTTTGCATTTTGGACATTTAGGGTCGTCTTCTGAGAGCATAACGTACATGAGACAACGAGGACATCCGACAAGAACCATCGAGGTTGTCTCTGGACTTGTTGAGTATCTCACAGATGGCTCGTCTTGGTTCATCTCCGACGAAACGCACGAGCTTATTGGTGAGATTGGTGAAGTCGTTGCAGACCGGCTTGGAGATCGAACCATCCTTCCCTGGCTTGTCGTAGGCGGCGAAAGATTCAGCTTCAGCTCGAGCTTTGGACTCCTTCGACTCATCTTCTGTGTTGAAATTGTTTTTGTTTTCAGACAAGAAGAGATTTCATAAGTGAAAGTGAGTTTGGTCGGAGAGAAAAAAAATACCTTAAAACTTGTGGATTGAGAAGGAGGGTTTGAGTGATCTTCAAAGACTTTCTTACTTCAATCACAAAGAGGTTGTCTCTTGTTATTACTGGTGGTTGGATTGCTTCAGCTTAGGTCTTTATATACAAGGAAGAACACAGAGAGAAAATTAAAGAGAGATAGATAGATTTTTCATTAAGGCTTAATTTAATTATGGGTGAGAAAGGGGAGAGAGAGAGAATCATAAAGATTGAATTGAAGTATACTAGTAGATAATGTATATCAGATGGTTAGTAGCTTTAATTTTTGCCTCAAGAGTATCGAATTTTAATTACTTTCTTTCAACTTCAAACCAGTAATTTAATTTTTTTTAATAAATACACAAGAAAATCTGTAAATATTTGCAGGAATCCAATTCATTGCTTATTAAATAGAGGAGAGGAAAAGAACAAGAGAGGTGTTTAATGGTTAATACACAGAAATCAAATTAAATACTCAACAGAACAACCATTATTTGTTTTATTTTTTCTTCATAGGAGTTAATATATGGAACCAAGAAATTAAATGGCAACCAACTTGAATTAGATGTTTATAATAAAAATCGAAATAAAGAGGAAAAATTCATAATTTCGAAGTAAAAAATGTACAGTCAAAG